CATAAAAATGGGAGATAGATAGCAGGATGAGAATTAAGGATGGAGAGTAGTCCAATGTGGTAGAATGTAGAACATGTGAAAATGAATTATATGAGATAAAGTTGGACACATAGGTTGGAGTCATATTGTGGGAGGCCTTGAATGCCAGGATCAATGGTTTAAATTTTATTCAGTAGGCAAAATTGCTAATTTTTTTGAGTGAAGGATGAAATGATCATTGCAATATGTTTTAATGTATTTAAGCAGAAGTGAAAAGATGGGGCTGTGAATGATATATGTTAAAGCATAGCTAGTAGACCAGCCTGGCTATAGCAGATTTGTGTCAGGGAAAAGACCCTGACATGAAACTCTTTACCTTCTCTCAACTGAAGGTGCCATGTAAAAGGAAAGGCTAGACAAGATGACTTCTAAGGCTCCTTCTAGCTCATATAATAAGTGTGGAAAAATTGGCTCGGACCAGATTTTTTTGGAGGGCCTTGAATGTCACATTAAGGAGTTTAGATTTCTATTCAGTGAGCAATGTAGAGTAATTTAAGGTTTTTGAGCAAAGGAAATCCATGATAAAATCAGTGTTTTCAGAAAAATTAATCTGGTAATGGTGTAGATGGGGAAGATCCTAGAGACATAGAGACTAGTTAGGAATTTCTTGTCCAGGGGTGAGTATTAGAAATCAGAAATTGTATAATATCAGTGCAAATGGAAAGGATGGAAAAATGAAATGGTTAAAAGTAGAGGTGAGTGGGCAGAGTCATGACATACATTATTGATACAAGGGAGCTTATTGAGATCAGGGAGATCCATTGATATAAGGAGGAAGAGAATAGCAACTCACCTAATGAAGGTAATATAGTCATCCTGACAGCAGGTGCAGATCTATAACTAGGGAAGGACCATTGGGATTTTGCCCCAGATTAAGAAATGTATTAGAGGATGAGAGTAGCACTATCCAAAGATGGGCTTCCTCTCTCTGACAGATGTACCTCAGATCCTCACTCTCCCTAAATTCCTCTATCTACTAGCTATAGTAAATATACAATTTTTATGTACCAGTAAAGAAACTTCCTAATGTCCTGGGAATTCCAAAATGAACCCTCCTTTTCCAACTTGATCTATGGGAAAAATACCACTTAGGGCTTTGAGAAGGGTCATCTCTGTCACCAAAAGTCTATACAGCTAATAGATTGAGGCCCAAGGCAGGAAGAGAAGATAAAAAGGAAGAAAAAAAACATGGAGTGAATAAGTGAAGGAGGAAGGAAAGTTGGAGTTAAAAGAGAAAAGTGAGTATTGGTAAATTACCACAAGGACTTCCTCAGGTGTCCTTTGTGCCATATATTCCATATATTACCTGGTCTAGAGGGAATAGATAAGACTAGGGTTCTAGTCCTTGTATTTAGTTTACTGTGCGACCTTGTGTATGTCATTTCTCAGTATTTCCTTTTGCCTATCAAATATAAGAATTCTAAGTAGATAAATGAGATTACACATGGGAAAATGTTCTGAGATCCTTGGGAGAAAATTGGTTCAGAAATTTGCATTGTTATTATTTACTTATTCGTTATTTTTTTCCTGAGAATCCTTGGGGACTAGGAGGAAGGGAACAGACTGGACGTTGATAACCCATGTTATCACTTCACTATGCCTCTGGATCTTGTGGTCCCAAGTTGGAAAATGGCATCAGGCTGCCCACCTACTTTACCAGCCAAATAGCATAAGGATAGCAGGGGCCAATTAAGGCCACTGTCCACCCCTCTGCAAATCACATTATCTCAGAATCCTGAAAAGGGGAGTGAAAAACTCCCCTCCCCCACTAGATGGCACTGAAACCCCTATTTCATTCACTTTTAAAATACAAGGAGGAGGAAGGGAGAGGAAGGACAAAAAGAACATGGTGGAGAGGCTCTCATTTTGGTTCAAAAACCCTGGAGGGCAAAGCAAAACACTGAACATTCTTAACCCCCAGAAAGCTCTTCTCTTATTCTACAGCCCTGGTCTTGCAACAGCCTATTAACCTGACACTTTCTTGAAATGTTCATAGATTTGGCCTCAATGGGTGGGGGATGAAAATAACAAATAAGGCTTTTGAGTAAAAACAAAACAAAACAAATCCAAGCCTATAAGACACAGAGATGATGTTGACAACATCTGTGGTGAGGCCTCAGAGCAGACAATGCAAGCAGCTTGTCTTAATGAATTTGTTCAGGATGGGAGATCCTCCTGGGCACCCTTCATGTCAGGCTTTGCTGGCCACGTCCTAGTCATGCATCATTTTCTACAGGTCTCTATAGATAAGGACACATCTTAAATCCAGTTGACCCCCTATATATTAAGAAAAATCACCTCCAAATATTTTATTAACCCTCCTTCCTTCCAATTTTTTCCTCCAAATATTTTCAGAGTAACTATTAAAAAGCATACCCATTAAATTCTTCATCCCTCATCCTATATACATCAGAATTCACTTTGTCTCTTTCTGTTTATCTGTCTGTTTCTTTCTGTCTTTCTCACACATTCAGAGGAGTGGAAGTGGGTTGGGCGGTAGGGAATTTCTAATGATCTGTTGGTGCTGAAATGGGGCTAACTGTTAACAAGCCCCCAGAAAGCCATACAGCTCAATGATGGAAATGCCAGCAGCCAGGAAGGCAGAGTATGTGGCTTTTCCTGTGAAAACAAAAAGCCCCCTTCGAACTGAGATACCACCAATGGAGAACTGTGGCGAGAAGGAAAAAAAAATCCCAGTTTTGCATATGAGCTGAAAGTCCTTTCGAATATCAGCTCCTCATTAAGCACATATATACATATGTATAAACACATATACACACATACATATATTTAAAGAACTGTGTGCACGATCTGAGGGATTTTGCCATTTTTGTAAGCATAGGAATATGAAATTCAGGGACTATTCCTAAATTTATAACAGTATGTTCAGTAAACACATTACAAAGGACACATATGTATCTGTGCATAAATATGTATGTGGTTAAGCACGTACATACATATACACCGTTGACTTGCCTGTTCAAAGAGTAAGTCTTAGACATCGCCTGCCGGTAAAATGGTGCAGTTTATCTTTAAGGAGGCTAGAAAAATAAGAAATGAGTCTCACGTTGCACGGATGACATCACTAGCTTTTGGCTCAGTGCTCTGTATTCTCCGTCTGTGGGCTTTAGCCAAGGCTGCAGCTCTCAGCGTTTGAACAAGGAAACATCCTCAGGTATCCGGGGGCTCAGAAAACGTTCCTTTATTTCAAGGTTCAGAACGGGGAGATGAGATTTCCAGAGAGTCCTGGACGTCGGCTTCTCTTCGGTTTCTCCAGGTCTCTGATGGTGCCCGCGAGGTAGTGAGGCTATCGCTACTGAAAGAAGGGAGGGGAAATTGAATAACCAACAGTTCACCCTTCCCTACCCCCCACCCCCTCACCACCACGACCACCAAAGGGAAAAAAAAAACCCACCCTGAATATAACTGCTGATGCTGGGATATTATTCGCGTGGAGCTGTTCAGGCAGAGAGAGATCTTGGCATCTAGGCTCCTTTGTGGGAGCGCTGGTTGTGCATGCAAGGGAAATGGTGCAATATGAGAGCCATTGACAACTGTTAGGCAGACTGCGTGTCTTTCCCCTCCTCTATAGTGCTCCAGGCATTGGTTTTTTGAGGGGCTTATTTATTTTGAGGTGTCAGGGTGTATGCATGTGTGTATGTATGCGTGTTGGGGGCGGAAGACATTACTTTGGGGTTTTTCCCCCCTCAGTCTTTGTACCTGCATTTTCCTTGCATATGGGAAGCACGTTTCTGAGGCTGTTTGGTTGCCAGATGAAATAAAGCACTGTTGAAAAATCAGATTGGGAGGCGACTGACTGATTTACATCCGGGAAGCAAAGCAGGGCGAGGATGTCAGCGGTATGAAGCCGGGGGTTTTCTCCCTAGGGCTTTGGGTGCCTCTGGGCAGAGCGTTCTGTCCATGGTCCTGAAGCAGCTTCTTAGTTCTTTGCAGCCTGTCTCCACTTGGACTCCAGCCCCAGTCAGAGCCGATCTCTCCTCGTTCTCCTGCTGCTACGGAGTTTCATCTAATCCAGGGAAAGGAATCGTCCAATTAGGTTGCCTGGTTGACAGCGCCGACAACAAAACGAGTCGCCTGAATGGCAAGGCAAGAGAAAGAAAGCAGAGGAGCTAGGAAACAAAGGTTGTCAGGGGCTGAAAACCTACATGAAGCCTGCTTCTGAGTAAAGCCTATGGGAAGGAAGGTGAAGTCCCTTTCTTGCTGAAGGAGACAGATTTTTTTTTTAGCCCAAGACTGAAGCGAGAAACCTTTTCCTGCGCTGCATTGCCCGACCACAAGCACTGATTGCAAAAGGGAAAGGTGATCCTCTTAAAAGGAAAAACAGATCAGAGCCGGCTTGTAAACCTAGGACAATTGGTCGGTTGGAATCGGGAGATTTCTAGGCACTGACCGGTGATGCTGCAGTTCACCTGATTATTGTAAAGTGGCCCAGTTTAACAACTCCTTTCCCCTATCTATTTAAATCACCACACTTATAAAGAGAGGTAGATCGATTCCATCGATACACTGCACAAAAGAAAGTCAAGGAGCACCAGTTTAATCAGAAAGAACTTTTATTATTTTCCTTCTGGGAAGAAAAGAAGGAGAAACGGAAGAAGGTTGACTGCGCAAAGGTGGTCTTGAGCTGAGCAACCCCGCTGTTTTAAGTGGGGCATCCTTTTCTGAGAGAAGTGGAGGGCGCTTCTGACACCCTTAGATGCTTTAAGCTATAGGAGATGCCAATTAACCCACTAGATTTTCTTGGGGTTAGAACTTTTTAGATTCTCCCAGAAGCCTTGGTGCTTCGTATGTTGCTTCAAACCGTGGACGTCTAGGTGGGGAGACTCGTTTGAGCAAGGCACTGAGCTGCAATCTGTCGGGCTCCGCTGGCTGCTTTGTTCTAGGGCTGAAGAACTAGGTTGTTGTGAAACATGCCCATGGTGTTGTTGTGAAGCTGAGGTATGGCTGCTGGAAGGTTATTGCTCTACACTGGCCTCTCCTTAGCTCTCTGTGCCCTCGGCATGCTGGCCGTGGCGATCTGCTCAGACCATTGGTACGAGACAGACGCCAGGAAGCATCGGGACAGGTGCAAAGCCTTTACTACTCGTCGGGTCGATCCAGGCTTCATTTACAACAACAACAATAACTTGCCGCTTAGGGCCAGTAGGTCTAGATTGGACCGCTGGGAAGGGAAACTCCTCCGGGCCAGGAACCGGAGGCAGCTGTTTGCCGTGAGCGCTATGGAAGAGTGCAACCGTCAGTACAACTCCACCAACATGGGGCTCTGGAGGAAATGCCACAGGCAGGGATTTGACCAAGACCTGGATGACCTCATTCAAAAAGGTAAGTGTCTCATCTAGGCTGTCTGCTTTTGAGAACCCATAATGAGAACATCCTACCTAAATTGGGGCCCCACGACCTTTATCCTCTTTTTTGCCAGGCTAACTTAGTTGCTTTTTTCGAAGCTTGCCATTTTTGGCTTTCACTTACCCGTCTCGAATATTCAGTCCACTTTGTAGGTAATCAGTGCTTTGATTCCTCAGCTGTTTATAATACAGGCTGGTTTAGGGTTTTTCTTATCTTTGCCTTGACAATTTCAGTTCGTTTCTGTTTATCTGGTCCCTTCAAATTCTCATTTTCCAGGATAATTCTCAGAAAAATGCTTTATCAGCTCTATATTCTATTGGTTTGCCTCTAAGAAAAGAGAGATTGTTGTATGTATAATGAGCAAAAAAACCCAAAAAACCAAACCCCCAAAACAAACAAACCAAAAAAACTCTTACAGAGGAATGTAGGGAGAAAGTAGACTACTCAATACCAATCTCAGCTTTAGAGGATTACTAAATGTTAAATGGAGACCAATTTTACTTCAGGAAAGGTATTATCTGTTGGCCCCCAAATGATTTTTGTCCTCTTTTGTCTTGACAAGTGGTAAATAAGAATGACATTGGCACCAAATGGAGGTGGGGGGAGGTGTAAGAAGACAGTAGAACAAAAAGCGCTCCATTTTTGCATTAGAAAAAATGCTAATATTAAAAACACTTATATCTCTAATAAGTAAATGAAACAAAATTGAAAGGTAAACAGCACTTGTCAATGATGATTCATTTTTTAAAATAAATAATATAGTAGAAAGAGCACTGGACTTGAAGCTGAGACCTGTATTTGAATCCTCACACTTGCTGGGTGACCATCTGCAAGTCACTCAACCTCTTAGTTTCCTCATCTGAAAACAGTGTTAATGATATTTGCACTGCTTACTTCATATGGTTATTATGAAGAAAACACACCATAATCTTTAAAAGCCCTCCATAAATGTGTTACAATTGTTATTGATTATTACATACCTAATTTTAAAAAATTATTCCTTCCCTATTTTCAATAATATTTGTAAATATATTTATGATACACAAGCATTATGGGGTACTACCATCCTAAACCTACTCAAATATTATTTGGAGGTCTTATGGGACCATCACTGAAGAAGAAGACTACTCTGCCAGGAGAGTTAATACTATGAGAATTTTGTGAATCTTGGATATCACTCTGTATTTCACTTTTATAATCTGTTAAATAGTGCTCAGGGTGAAAACAGTGTTCTTCCACATACTTTGCAGCTTCTCTTTGGAAAGAATAAAAGAATGGGAGGTTAGAATTTTAAAATATAGTGGCTATGGTGCTGTAATAGTTTTATTGATTAGATTTGTGACAGGTGGTGCTATTCTTGTTCCCCATCACACTTCTAACCTCCTCCCAACCCCCCTGAAAAAAAAAACTGTCAAAGTTGGGAAAGGTTTGAAAAAAAAACCTAATCAATCAGGAAAAATTGTAAAATATTTAATGAAACAATGAATAGCTTGTAGGTGGTTGAATTTAGATACATTCTAGGTCCAGTGTATCTGAGAGGCATTCCCTTTTTATGTCTACTTTGAAGTTTATGTCAAGTGAACCTGGTGATCTTAATCCAATTAAATTGTGGACTGTGTTCAGTATTACAAAAATCAAGCCATACTGCACTAAAAAGGTCAGGACCTTTTAGAGTATGGTGTCCAATTTGAAGATTTAGAACATGATTAATGATTTAGATAATTTTAATAAGGGTCCTTAACCTGGGTCCTTGAATTTGTCTTAAACAAGGTTTTGATAACTATTTTAGTATAGTTGGTTTCCTTTGTAATCCTATGTATTTTATGCATTGAAAAAATTATTCTGAGAAGATGTTCCTAAGTTTCATGACACTATCAAAGGGGCCATGATCCAAAAACAGGTTAAGAACCTCTGCTGTAGAAGAATCCAGAGAAGAGCAACATAGGGTTGGAATAAAGAATTGTAAAACTGGGGGGATTAGGATTATTTAAAGAAGACTAGTAGGGAATTTAATAATTGGTTTAAGATTAACAGTATTATTTTGTCAGCCTTCTATTTTCACAAAAACTGCTGCTGCAGGGAATTAAGTAAAATATAAAGAAATCAAAGTAGTAAAGATCAACAAATACTAGAAGGTTTTATTAAGTGAGGCTGCTGAATAGCCTTCTTCAATAATCTCTAAGAATACAATATTTCTGCTTCTGTTGGGTTTAGGTCAAGCCTGATCAGAGGCAGGGGTTGGAATTTATGACCTCTTTGGCCCCCTGCAGTTCTCTGATTCTGTGTTTCTGTGCTTGGCAACATGAGAGTAAAGGTTGATTTGGCTTGTGGATTTGGCTATTTTGTTACTATAGTGACACTTTCTTCTGGTGAAGATAGACACTGGCAGGGAATGGAATGGGTGGAAGAGTTATCTTTTACCTCCTTATATACTGCATTTTAATTGTAATGACAGAAAATGGACACTGAAAAGCAGGGAGGAATTAATATTTAAAGTTGTTTGGATATTGTATTTCATTTGAACAAATGGAAATGTTCATCATCACCAAAAATACAGCCATCACTGTCAGCCTCCTAGTATATGTAATTGCTGTGGTTCCTTCTGCCTGTTGGACATTGTTTTTCTTTGGTTTGTTGTTTTGGGGATAGTGTCAAAGCTACAAATCCAGAGAGATTTATGGTCACTGTCTTCCTTTTAAGGTAAAAGAAAGATCCATTTAACCTAACACTGTGATCTTTAAAGATTGATTTATCTTTTTCTAGCTAGTCAAAGAAAGATTCTGAAAGTGTGTGAATTCTTTGCTAGTAGAAATTATACTAATGTAATTTGTAGCTGTCACCAGTTTCCTAGGTGGTAAGAAGATAGAAAAGAAGCTACTATGCATGTATTTCTTTTTGTTGCATTGTTTGAAAAAAATCTTTCATTACTCATCAGTCTTCAAAAACAATATCTTAGACCTTTTAAACAAACTTTCTAGTTTAGTATTCAGTTTTTATGAGTGTATATTTAAAAAAGAGAGAAGTAAAAAAAGGAGCAGGCTGTTTACATATAGTGTCAATATTACAAGGAAATAAGCTATTTATTTGAATGACGATACAGCTCTAAAGAACTTAGTCATTTGGGAAATCAATACTCATTATCTTTGAAAATGCTGCATATATGTTTTTAAATAACATTTAAAAACACAATTAATGAGAATCTAAAAGCCAAAATTGTAGATGGTTTAAAAAAAAACTCCTCTGAATTCACTCAGTAATTCTGCCTCTCACAATGCTCTTTATAATGATGTAATTCCTATGTACACATTTCTGTTGCCTGTTTGGTTGGCTGTCTTACCTCTCTTTTAGAGTATAGGTCCTTGAAAGAGGGGACAGAATCTATTTTTCAACAAAAGATGTACACCAAGGACACACTACACTGCTATAGTCTATCTGACTTCTCAGTAAATCTTTGTTGAGTCATTACTATTTAGATTCTCATTTAAGTTAGTTCAATAAACATTTATTAAGTTCTAGGTACTGAACTGGATGCCAGGATTACCAAAATGAAAAATGTCACAGTCCCTGCCCTCAGAGAACTTTTCTTCTACTGAAAGGGAAATATCATATACACAGATGATTATTATGCAAAATAGGATATGACAAAGATAAAGTATATATTCAGGAAAAAATGGTTGAGGATAATTTGAGGAAAAAATTTCAACTGAGAGAATCAGGGAAAGCATCACTGAGAAAACAGAACCTGAAGTAAGCCTTGAAGGAAGATCGGGATTTCCATAGACACAGATGGGGAAAAAATGCAGTACATGCTGGGGGGAAGCCTATGCAATACAGATAAATGGAAATGGAAAATCAATCAATCAACAAACATTTCTTAAGTGCTTGCTATGTGAATGGGATTATGTTAAATTTCAGAATATTGAGTTTAAGGAAATCTGTAGTAACCTATAGAGTTCTTGAAGGGAAGTGATGTGAAATGAGGCTGGAAAGGTAGATTGAGCCAGACTGTGGAAAGCCTCAAATGCTAAGCCAAGGAGTTTGCCTTTTTGAGCAGAAGAGTGATATAGTAAGGTTTGTGCATGAAGAAGATTATTTTGGCAGCTATGTAAAAGATGGACAGAAGAGATGAGAGACCAGAGGCTGGGACAATAGTTACTAGAATATTAAACTTCATCTTAACTTAAATTTGTAGGAATAAAACTACCAAAGGCTCATCCTAATTCCAGTGGGGCTAATTCTATGGGTTTAAAGGATACTCTAAGAAAAATATTGATTTCTAAAGTTTATCTGAGGTGGGAATTGTTGTGGTTTAGTTGTTTTTCAGTCATGTCTGACTCTTTGGGACCTCTTTTGTGGTTTTCTTGGCAAAGATACTGGAGTGGTTTGCCATTTCCTTCTCCATCTCGTTTTACAGATGAGGAAACTGAGGCAAACAGGGTTAAGTGACTTGCCCAGGGTCACATAGCTAGCAAGTGTCACAGGTCAGATTTGAACTCAGGTCTTCCTGACTCCAGGCCTGGCACCCTATACATTGTGCCACCTAGCTGCCCCCAATATGGGAATTAGGACAGGTCAATACTGAAATGTATGAAAGTATGCCAAAGAAAGATTTCTTGGGTGAAGTCTTACCTAAAAAGGTTAGTGTAAGTTAAATACTTTAATAATATATGTTATTGAATAGAAATATCATCAATAAAAATTCTTTCCCAAGTTAGACAAGAAGGTTCTTAGTGAGTGTTAGAATCTGGGATCTCTGGGTAATGATGTTGGATAGAGGTGCAAAGAAAATTATGATTTAATTCATGTTAGAATGCTGCTATGAAACGTATTGTATCAGGTCTTTTGCTTTCATATCTCATAGGATATACCCTGATAAATCAATGCACACTCTGAGTACAGACAATTTGTGGAATCAGATTCAGAAATAAAAAGAGACTTCAAGAGTACCAGAGAAAGTAGCTACAAGTTGAATTGTT